AACCCGACAACCGTTAGTTTAGTCTCAAAGAATGAAGATTGGCATATGATTAAGGAGATGTGTATTGTGCAACATCTTCGGTTTAAAAAAGAGAAAATGGGGTTTCCCTTTTCAAATAAAAACATTGCACAAAATTGTGAGTTAATATAGAACCTATCCATGATTAGGTTTTTGATGCGGACGGTGATTGATGATTGTGCGTCTCAAAGTTGGGTGACCCCTGTTCCCGTAGGAGTCCTCCAAAATCTTGCAATATGAAACATTTTGTGTCATGATGCATTAATGTAAGCAACGATGAAAAAGTAGAAGCGCAGGACTTTTAATTTTTCGCCATTGCAGATTCATCTTTTCTCAAAAGCATATTTCTATATAGTTATTTACACAGTACCGTTGTCTTCTGCAGGTGGACTTAGGCAGAGGTTTAACTTGTGAGGGGAAGACCAAAGGTCATAGATGGGAATGGCTGATGAAGTGGAGACGCCACGGTCAAGTGGCCGAGAGGAAAAGATTTTTGTTTCTGTTCGTCTGCGTCCTTTGAACGAGAAGGAAATTTCAAGGACTGATGTTTCAGACTGGGAATGCATAAATGATAATACAATTATATCTTCGAACAGCCTTTCAATTTCCGAGCGCTCCATGTATCCAACTGCCTATACATTCGGTAAGCAAGTGCTTTTGTTATGTTTTTCAGGAAAACTAATTTCCTTCACAAAGTGCAAATTATGAGGATTAAATTAATGAATTTCGTTGTGTTTTAGCAGTAACTATTTAGTTTTTCATGGCAAAGTGGAAAAACATACAAATATTTCAGTTGAAATGGTTTTAGACGTTGAAAATATAGTTTGGTTTATAATTTTAATAAATTTTGATAATAGAATCTTATTCAAACCTGCAGTTAAAATAGAAAAATTTTCTTGATGGAAGGGGAAGAGATGTAACATTTCTGTTCAGTGGATTTTGAAGGTTGAGTGTATGGTTTTTCTTTAAATTGATTGACGGTACATGTATCCTCTTTTTTGTTTTTCAGCAAATAGTTTTCCTTAGATACCATATTATGAGTTGATCTCCCTCGTATTTATTAGCTTTCTTTTAGATTTTCTTAGTTGAAGCAGGAAGTTTTGCAGGCAAAATTTCTAACTTAAATCTCCTGTATAACTGTCTAAGGTTACAATTAAGAAATGTCTCATCCTTTCTTGTTTGGTTCTGTCCACTGGTCTACTCTTTGCTTCTAGACAGAGTGTTTAGTCCTGATTCCTCCACAAGACAGGTGTATGAGGAAGGTGCAAAGGAAGTTGCTCTTTCAGTTGTTAAGGGGATAAATGGTATGACCTCTCTTGTCTGTATGTTAATTTGTTTGCTCCCTTCTATTTCCTTTTCAATAATGAAATGCTTTCAGCAAGTGTTTTTGCATACGGACAAACAAGCAGCGGAAAGACATATACTATGACTGGGATTACTGATTACACCTTAGCGGATATATATGATTATATAGAGAGGGTAAAGAAAACGCTACTATTTTTTATTATTGTTCTGGTTCTCATTCTATGGTACATGCTTAATTTTGTATTTCTTCTCTGCAGCATCAAGATAGAAAATTTATTTTGAAGTTCTCTGCTATGGAGATCTATAATGAATCTGTGAGAGACCTCCTAAGTTCTGATAGCTCTCAACTTAGACTTCTAGATGATCCAGAGGTTATATTTCATTTTGGATATTTTGAGGAATTGGTCTATGCAAAATTTATTTCTAAATTAACTATTTGCTTCTTTGACAGAAAGGAACTGTTATTGAGAAACTCACTGAAGAAATTCTGAGTGATTGGAAACATTTTAAAGAACTTCTATCTGTTTGTGAAGGTAAGTGCCACCTCCTCACCAACTTTGGCAAGATATTCTTGTCAGCATAGATTTCAGAACAACCTAGTGCATTTTTGGCAGCTCAAAGACAAATTGGAGAGACTGCACTGAATGAAGCAAGCTCCAGATCTCATCAGATTTTGAGATTGGTAAAGACTTGTGATTGATCTGTTCTGGCATCTAATATGTGGTATTCCTGTTATGTTACAATAGTTCCTGTTCTCTGAACTATGTTTTGCTCTCAGACAATTGAAAGTTCTCCACGTGAGTTGGGCATTGACAAACTGAGCACTCTCACAGCTACTGTGGTATGAAAATCTATGTCCTTTTCATTTAATTTTCTGCTGGAAAATACTAATAGCAAATGAAAAAGATGTAATAACCATTTGTCTACAGAATTTTGTTGATCTTGCAGGAAGTGAGCGTGCATCTCAGTCACTATCTGCGGGCACTAGGTTGAAAGAAGGTTGCCATATAAATCGCAGTTTGCTAACATTAGGAACTGTTATCCGTAAGCTGAGGTTAGCTTGTGACACTTTTTTACGGCCACTTTGTTATTACTGTTGCAAATTATACGAAAAGTT